AAAAATGATCTATCAGTATAGTATCTCTTTTTCCATCCCTTTAGATTTAGCCTGGGGTCAGAACAGAAAAGAATTTTGCTGTAGTGTTAAAGAGGTTGATGTACAATGATAGTAAATGGCTTATACAAGGTAATGTGAACATTTGATAGTTTTATCTATTGAGTTTTAAAAATTGTGAATATTATTACAATTCCTCAGAATTTACAACTGAACTTCTTCTTAGAAGCAAGGTTGCCATTTTTTATTTCTGCCTCTAAAATGTGCACATACAAGCAAAGAATGTCCAGTCATTTGTGTTTATAACTTGGTAATGCTTCCAGATGTTCATTTTATACCAGGGACTCTGCTATTATTTTTGAAGACAGTCATATTTTGGTGTTTTGATTTTGATAAATTACAATATTTAAAGTCTTCAAAAATGTTTAAGTAACACATAAATACTTTGAAAGCATAATTATTATAAATGCTTGTAAGAACTAGATAAAAAGTGCCCTGGGGGAGGGGCAATACTGAGATCAGAGCTCTAGGTATTGGCGAATTTTTGGATGCTTCTTGAAGACCCGAAATGAATGTTTCAAGAGCCCTTTTATAAAATAAGCACCAGTTTTAGGATATACAAACCTAATTACCTAAGAGAATAAATTTAAAATTTCTATCATTGAACTATGAAATACTATTTTCTGTATGTATTCAATAAGTACTTTTCAAGGAGGAATAGAAAATGGGAATCAAAACCACATAAATGATATTTACTACATCCAGAATGGATTCTTAAGTCCATATGTACCATCATTGACCTCTCATTATGTGCTAGGTCATGTGCTGAGTGTTTTCTATATAGCCTTTCACTTAGGCCTTGTAATGGTCTGGCACTTATGAAATTTAAAACTTAGAGAATTTAGTTGGCACTTCAAAGTCCGTCTTGGGCCCTTTTCTTTTCCACTACAGGCATTCTTCCAGGAGAATTCTCTACTGGGACCCCAATTACTGTATGTTGATATATCCCAAGCCTGCATCTCAAGTCCCTACCCCTTCCTCTGCTTTTCTAGAGCCATGTGATCCTTTACCCACAAGAGGCTTCTGCTCAGTCCACAGGCTCCTCTAATATCAACATGGCCAGAAGGTCATTCTTTAATTTGCCCCCTGCCTTTTGCCCAGTGTATTCTCTTTCAATGAATGGAGATAACACCATCCATCTGTCACTCCATTTAGAAAGCAAGTACCACTTTTGATTTATTCCTCCTGTGACCCATCGTCTCTGACTAATCACTAATTTGTGTTGACTCTTTCCTAATCGATTAAAAATTTATCACTTCACTGTGTTTTCACTGTCACCACCCTCGATATTTTCCTGGCATTCTGCAATGTTCTCTTCCCAGTTCTACTTACGGCATGCCTCTGCACTCCATCACTTACTACAACCCCACAAAGCCCCACAAAGCCCTCTTGGGGTAAATTCAAAGTTCTTTACCATGATTGGTATAGCTTCTTATGATGTTGCCTCTCTGTATCTAACTATTCTGACTTTTCATTCCTTCCAAAGTCATATACTCTTTGACCAAGTATACTGGTTTTTCTTTTCAATTTCTGAGCCATATCCTTTCTTGCTTTCTTGATTTATTTTTTATTTTTTTGCATTTCTTCTGCCTGGAATATCCTTTCACTTTAAAGATCTTCCTTCACTAACCCTTATTTTTCATTTGTATCTCAACAGAAATGTCACTTCTTCTGAGAAAACTTCCCTATGCCCTTATATCTGAGGAGATTACAAAATGTTCTCATATCACCCTACAGCCACTAGGATTGTCCTTATCATACTATGCCTGCTATTCATTTGCTGTTTTCCCCATCACAATGATAAGATCTCTAACTGTGTGTCTACTGCATTCTTAGCACAAAACAGTGTTTGGCACGTAGTAGGATCTTGATGAATATTTGATGAAGGAATGGATGAAGGCGTTCTACTAGTAAATGGCAAATTCATGTCTAATCCTCAAGATTTGCTTTCCTTTAAGACAGTGTTCTAGCAACTGCCTTCTAATGCCTCCATCCCAGAAAATTAATGGAATTGGGACTATAAGGCCAGAATAATTCAAAAAGAAAACATAGAGGGGCCAACTATGCTCGGGACAAACTCAGACAAAGCATGCAGTTCTAAAAGTAAAATGTTGAAAAACCTGTGCCATTACTGATAAGTTAAGATTTATCACCACAGGAAGTCAGAACTCATAAAACTCAACTCCTCTGTGAACCACACTTGTACAAACCTAGGTTTTACTGTGTTGTTCCATTTCAAAAGCAATATCCACAGGAAAACTGAAGTTGAAATAAAATATTTTAATAAAAATTATAATTGTTTTATTAATACAGACTCATACTACAAGGAGTTTTCCTCTCACTTTCTGCTGAAAAAAAAAATGTAATACTTTTGTTTACCATTAAGTACTAGTCTAAGATTGTTCAAAAGTAACTCTTTGCAATTTCTTGTTTTAAAATGTGGCAGCCTGAAGGGAAGACTTTCAGGAGTCCTGCATGTGGTAAAAACAGGCTTTTAAAGCGTACTTTCTATCCTACAAGCCAAGGCTGTAATTCAATGCCTCCCTTTTCTTTTTATATATTTTTTTCCAGTAAGAGGTTTTTTTTTTTTCTTTTTCAATCAGAGAACTTGCTATTCAATGCTTTGACTTGATGATTTGTGCCTTACTTAAAGTCACTTACCTATTCCAGTCATAAAGCAGGCTTACAGAGGCCAGACTCATGTCCAGGATGCACAGACATCCAGAGCTCTGCTGTGTCCTTGTGCAGTCACCTGAGAATATTACATGTTCACCAAAGAAAACATACTCCAACATCAATAAGTAGGTATTACATTAATACACACCACAGGGGTGGAGCCGAAAATAGTGTATTGATTTCTGTTTTTTTTTCTTCCGTTTTTAAAAAATAGTAGATGGACAATCCTTTAAGAAAGGTACATGTTCTTTGACATGTACCTACATCTAGTTTATACCCAATTCTCCAACCTGGCAAGGTTTTTCATTAAAGTAAGCAGATGCCCAGTAGAAATACTGCATTAATACCGTGATATAAAACAGGTTACATGGGGTAAAATTTAAATAGCCATAGGAAGCATGAAACTATGATAACTCATTTAGAAACAGAAGCACAAGGCTGAGGCAGGAGGATCGCAAGTTTGAAGTCAGTCTGGGAAATTTAGTGAGACCCTATCTGAAAAAGAAAACAAAACAACAAACAAAACCAGCTGGGGATATAGCTCAGTCAAGCATCCCTGGGTTCAATCCCCAGGACTGAAGATAAATAAATAAAAAGAGAAACACAAATTAGATGATTGATGATCCCAGTGGATTAAACTTCATTTTGTACTGGTTTGGTATGGTGTTTGAACAGCTGAGAAAGCCTGGTCCAGGCAATCACTGGGGTCAGGAACTCATTCTGTACTAGATCCAGCTTTGGATTTTTACCACCTTAATGGCCATGTTTTCCCAGTTACCCATTAGCAAGAATTAGCCACAAAATTAGTATATTGTGCTTTTAAAGTTAAAAAGCAAAATGAAGTGCCATTTTAAAATTCTTGGGGGGTTTTATATATTGCAACTGAGGTTTTTGAAAATATTTCAGCCTTTAAGCCCTCCCCCTCCACACACACACACACACACAAAAAGCAATTCAGTGATTAGGTCTATTATATCCTTGATAGTAATGCCTTTCAAGTGTTAGTGTAGAACCAACTCGCACAAGATGTTCAAAATTTGTATTTTGTATTTCTTGTCTGCCCCCATCTCTGTGTTCTCTGAGACTGATTATCTGGTAGGGCCCAGGAACCTGCATATTAACACTACTCTAGACAATCTGTGAGCCAGCTTTCAAGAAAAAAAATGCTTTAAATGTATCTTAGAGATCTAATCATTTTCAATTTTACTTTCTCCTATGCAAAGACAAATGCTATTTTGTTCAGAATAGTGTTGTTGGTGGGACCATACTGTAGGAGTTTTGTGGCCCTGGGCAAATTCCTTCCTCCTTAAACCTCAGTTCCCTCATTGTAAATAGAAAGGCTTTTTCTATCACTTACAGTCATTCTGCAATTTATCTGAGAAAACTGACAAATTACCTCCTGCACAGAGAAAGGGCTGCTTTTCCCTCTCTTCATACTCAATCTCTTGATTTGCTGCGTCTGCATCTTTACAAATATTTTGCTTATCATTAATGCATTTCTTGCTTATTACAGCTTTTGTTCACTTAGGTGCAAATGCTACTAAAGCCCCTCCTGAGCCTAGATGAAAACAATCTATTACCTAAACCCCCATACATTGAAAGTGCCTCTTAGAGCATTTGCTGTTTTCTACTGTATAAAATACTTAGAGTTGTATTTGCATATCCTACCTATTAGGTTCTCTGACTGTATTTCATTTTTGTTAACCACAAAATTTGTTTTGCTTTAAAAGTACCAACTGGTTTAAAGTATATAAGAAAGGGCATTATTTGTTAATTGTAGCAATAACTGTCATATCCACATGCAAGTATCTATTCAATCAATATTTAATTAATATCTAGTATGTGTATCCTGGAGTCTGCTAGGTGCTGAATATGCTTTGTACTATGAAGGCAAAACATACAAATAATTGACTCTGTGTTAGGCTCTTTATTTTGTCATGTGGATATCCTTTTTGTATGGACAGGTAAATGCTTTGTTAAATCTAAATGTCCATCATGGGAATAAACGAATCAAAAGTACTCAAAATCATGTGGACTATTATTTCATTAGAACCAATAGTCTGCATGCTATGTACTATAAAAAAGTACTCAGTTTTCTTTTTAACGCCTTGAATTTTTCTTTTGTTTGGTGCTGTGGGGGGAATACGTGTGTGTTATCCACATGAATAAACATGCACAAGCATTTGTGCCAAGTTTTAAACATCAAAGATAGAACAATGTAAAACTGAAATGATGTGCTTCTCTTCTGTTTGTTCTTATCATTTCAGATGATGGAAAATTATCTTTTGAAGAATTCAAAGCATATTTTGCAGATGGTGTTCTCAGTGGAGAAGAATTACATGAACTCTTCCATACCATTGATACACACAACACTAAGTAAGGAGTTTTCTAATCACTGGATTCTATAAATGAGGTAGAGAAATAGTTCTTCATGAAGGAATGAGGGAGAAAAGATGTAGAGGGTACATTTTATGATGCTTACTTATGTTTAATTCCAAGATACCTTGTTTTTAAAATATGAAAATTTCTGAAAAACTCAGTGATCTTTAGAGAGCTCTCCCAAGTAGTTTTAGATCAGTTCCTTTTTGTAAAATATAAAACAAAGTAGACATGATAAGCAATTCTTATTCTATCATTAATAAGCAAAGAGAATTTTGCCTTATCACGTTGTCTTCATCTCAATTTTCTTTGTAAAAATTGTCCTCAGGCCATTTTTATATTAGTGTATTAAAATGGAAGAAATTGTAGCAGTCATCTGGTCAATTCAAGTCTGCTGAATTTAAAATCACTGTTACCTGATAGATTCAGGTAATGAAAGACACAGGATTATCTCTGCATAGTTGATACACACAGTAATCTGTACCTTGAATTTATTTTACCTATATAGATTTATTTTTGCATTAGCATAGCATTTATGAAAGTTGTATCTATAGTCTTGCTGTGCTTAAAAATATAAAATACTAAGAACTTAAGGATATAGAACAATAAAAAATGTGCTGCTTGTTTTGGGTAATTGAACCAAATCACATTATTTGTGACAGTCGAGATTATACAATTCTGATGTGAAAAAGCACCATTTCAGTCTTGCCTTGAGTGCCGTCAGTGTATCTACTGCTTGAATAATCACCATCTCGCTTTAGGCAGTGTTAAGGCGGTTCCAGGCAGTGAGCCAGTGTGCTAGGAAAATGCTTTTGGGTTTTTGTCTATGAACAGACATTTTCTTGAGGCAAACTATTAAGAAAAATTAAAAGATACAATTCACTTTACTCAAGCAGCTGAATATTAGTAAAACAACCGGTTTGCGAGTTCTTGAATTCAGTGGGGTTTTCAGTTCACTTGGAAATGGCTTAAGTATTTTGTTGTCAGAAATAGTACTAATGGGTAACTGAATCAGAAGTTCCAGTCTGCTCAACACTCTAGCGCATCAAACGTCTAGTAGGCATTGGTGATACAACATGGAGCCAGCTTATAGTTCAGTGAGGAAATAGACTCACTAACTGATCATTTCAATATAATATCTGTATTTGAGGTATGCATGGGATTACAAAGAACATAATGTTAGCCCAGTTTTGGGCTCAGGGAATATTCATTAGAGCTGAGTCATTGTGGAAGAGTAAAGATTGCTTAGGTTAAGAAGAGCAGGGAGAGTGGGACAGAAGAGGGAAAAAAACATAAAATGAGTAGGAGCAACACATATGCTCTTACTGCTAATGTGTCAACCATAAGGCTAAGAGTGAAAGGAGACAAATCTGGAGAGTAAAGAATGGGGTGATCAAGAAGAAATTTGCACTTTGAGATCAAAAAAAGTGCTTCAACTGTATCCTGTTGGCCAGGGGAAGCTATTGAAGAACTTGAGTTAGGGGGTGACATTGTTGAAGGCCATTATGGTTCTACTGAAGGATAGGCTCAAAGGGGGAGAGATGGAGGAACACAAGATGATTTTAGTTGAATCCTTAAATTGCTACTGAGAGAGAATTTTCAGAATTCTCTGAAAAGGGAAGCCCTGCTGTATCATTCTGAGGAATAATACTTGAGAAAAAAACAAAACAAAAACAGAGCAGAGGCTCCCTTTGAGGTTCAGTTACTGGAAGATGTGATGCTAATACTCCATCAAGGATGCTGATTATCTCTTCCTTGTCATATGTATTATGGAAATTTTAATTTGGGTTGGGAACATTGGGTTTGGAATATTTATTGAGAGTCATGGTTTCAGAGTTTGCTATCATGAAGATTTTTCAATACATATTTACTAATGTTAATGAAAATTAAAGCATTCAATAGATCTTGTTGGCCTGGTTTTGCTATTTCATTTACATATTTATTAGATTGGAACTTGGTATAGCTTTAGGATTACTAAGTGCTAAGAAAGCACATACAATGATTCATACCATAGTCTCAAGGAATAATAATTACTACTAGTTAATCCCATATGCATTAGTAACAATAGTGTGTGCTTTCTGATGTAAGGATGTTCAATTTAATTTGGAGCTTAAGTATATTAGTTGGAGACTTCTGAATTATATTCATGAAATTCCTTTTACAAAAAAAAAGAGGGGGAGTGTCAGTGCCAGTGTTTGATCTTTTTAAAAAGATTAATTCAAACTTTGGCACAGAAATTTCAGAGCTTTATTTTAAGCAACTGATAACTTTTATCTTTGCATGATCTAAGTTTTAATTATTTTAGTGATTTAATATATATATAACAATTATTTTTCCCTTTCCCCTTTCCATACACCTAAGAAAGTATGCACTTATCAGACCTGGTGGTGCATGCCTGTAATCCTCAGGAGGCTAACATAGGAGGACCACAGGTTTGAGGCCAACTTCAGCAACTTACGGATACTTTGTCTCAAAATGAAAAATAAAAAGGACTGGGCATGTCGTTTAGTGGTAATGTGCTCCTAATTTCAATCCCCAGTACCAAAAACAAAAGAAAGAAAAAAGTATGCTCTCAAATCTAACCACTGCTTAATATCCCTAGCCACTCTAATTTATCAGGAGCCCAGTCTGGCCTGAAAGAGCCAATAGGCCGGATGAAACCAACCAGATTCATTGTCTTACCTTGTTCCTTTGGACCTAGAGAGTCACAGTCCATGAACACCTGTCATAAAACCCCACGGCCGCCTGGTTCCTGCCCCTCTTGATGTCTAGTGATTTAACTTCACCTTGGAACCCATTAATATATTATCTGCTTTATACACTGTTTTCCTGAGCTTCTCCAAGGAAGATTCTGTCCCTTGCAAAAGGATGTTCTAAGACAGTACTACCTCAGCTCACTCCTGGCATCTGTGGAAATTCAAATCCCTTTGCTACAAACGCTATATTTGCTGTGTACAAAAAGTAACATATTCACTTTGAAAATATTTGGAAAGAAAAAAGGAAAATCTGCTATATAATTTTCCCCCTTTTGTCTCATGAAGAATATTCTTAAAATATTATTCTTGATTCTGAGAAGCAAATATTGTTCAAAAAGTGTAATTATAATCAGTATCTATAATGCAGTAAAATGAACATATTTTAAATATTAAAACTAGGTAAATTATTTCTGGTAAAAGTACATTTATAACAAAAAAAACTACCAGGTAAGCCTTTCAAGAAGTCATTTCTTACAGGTAGCTTTTTTTTTTCCTTTCTTTCTTTCTTTTTTTTAGTACTAGGGATTGAACCCAGGAGCTTTTTACCACTAAGGGACACCCCCCCCCCCCGTAGGCCTTTTTTTTTTTTAACATTTTTTACTTGTCAATGGACCTGTAGTTTATTTATTTATATGTGGTGCTGAGGATCAAACCCAGTGCCTCACACATGTTAGGCAAGTGCTCTACCACTGAGCCACAACCACAGCCCTCCTCCACCCCACCCCCAGTCCTTTTATATTTTGAGACAGGGTATTGTTAAATTGTTGATGCTGGCCTCTTACTTGCCTGCCCTGCCTCAGCCTCCTAAACTGCTGGGATTAAAGACTTGGGCCACCTTTCCTGGTTTAGCTTTTAAATGGATAAGCATAGGGTGATGTAGTGATTAAAAAAACAAGTTTTAACAACAACAACAACAACAATATATATACACTGTCTTCACCATCACACACATGTGGATGACAGTCTTAATTTCCAAATGTAACTCTACTGTTTTTTCCCTTTCATTTTATTCATTCATTTCAGTTCTGTGTCCTTTCATCTGAAAATTGCTATTGTCATTAGAGAAATTATTTTAAGAAGACTTCATTGCATTTTTAATTTTCTATGCCCTGGAGCCACTTGTCTCGTTTCCAATAGATCTCCTTTCATGAATAGAAGTAAACCAAAACCAACAGAAAAACAAACCTAAATGCATACAACTTCATAAAAACATATACATTTGAAACTATGCAACGATTTCTGCATGTGACTATTACCAAGGTTGAGATTATTTCTGGTTTGAATCAGAGGATGTTTTTAGTGTGTTTTAAAACCAAACTTCTGACCACCATCTGTGCAGGTTGAGAGTGTGCCCAGTGAGCTGTAGTCACCATCCAGCCTGCGCCAGCACAAACTTGTGGTTGGCACTTGGGATAATCTCACTCTAAAAAGAATTCCAGGAACCATCCTACTTGCTGGGTGCTTGTTTTGGTCAGCTTTTTTCCCTGCTGTGACTAAAAGAATTGACCAGAGCAATTGTAGAGGTAGAAGAGTTTATTTGTAGGCTTATGATTTCAGAGGTCTCAGTCTATGGATGGCCTGCTCCATTCCTCGGGGCTCAAAGTGAGGCAGAACATGATGGTGGCTGAGTGTGGCAGAGGGAAGCAGCTCACATAAAGATCAGAAAGCAGAGAAAGACTTCACTCACCAGATATAAAATATATACCCCCAAACCATGCCCCCAATCTTCCACCTCCTCCAGACACACCCACCTGTCTTCAATTACCACTCAATTAGTCCCATCAGGTGATTAATTTACTGACTGGGTTAAGGGTCTCACAACCCAATCCTTTCCCCTATGAACCCTCTCACATTGTCTCACACATGAACTTTTGTGGGACACCTCATGTCCAAACCATAACAATGCTCCTAGTATAGTGAATATTTTCCCAGAAATTATGTTCCTAATCTTTATAGTCTGAAGATTTTATTGAGAGCAGAGACCATAGAAGTGAAAAGAACCCCCACGGAAAGGAGGAGAAATATGAAGGCATCAGAAGCTCAACTTTCCATAACTTTTTAAAATTATCATTTTAAATTGATAGGTCTTTTCCTTTCTATGTGGACATTTGGAATATTTCACTGAGATTTTTCTTACATAGAGTGAGTGTGGAACAAAGGACTAGTTTATTTCTGTAGAAGATACTTGGAGTATGTGATGTGGCAAAGAAAACCAAAGGTTACCTTATAAGTTTCTGTTAA